GTAATAAGTCACTGTGTTCTTTCCACGATATAAAATTCAATATTCCATTAACTGAGGACCTTAGTTACGTCTGTATCCATACGTAAGGATAGAAATAAAGCTGTGCAGGAGAAGATAGCTGAGTGGAAAAGAATATAGAAAATTGTATTCCAAGAAGCGTTCAAGTACAAGGTTACGAGGTACACCCCGTATGGGACCAATCGCAGGGTAGTGTTGCAAGCTAGTTCTGCCCACTGGTCTAAATTATGGGGTCGCTGTCCAGCTCGCCACGCATAAATGATTGCCCGTGTTATGTTAAACATCCAACAACGGAGAGCCCCGAGAGCTCACCCACACGAAACATCCGATAGAGGTGGAAGCGAGTTTGAATAAGGGGCGAAGAGGTGAAGGCAGGAGGTGAACGTTATTTATCTCGAGCAGTCGCACGAGCAAGGATTTTGAATAATTCCTGGTCGGCGGAAGAGGTCGAGGATCTTGCAACTCCAGGCCACTTTGGATTGTCCATAAATATTCTCCGGTCTGCAAAAAGTGTTCGACCACGAGCCACGCGTGCAACATCAGATCTTCAAACCTCACCTTCTTCCTATTCCTCTCCTCCGTTCAATTTGCTGACTCTGACGAACACAGAGCATTCGTCTTTCGAATTATGCTCCCAAACTGTTTTCCATTTTCTAATAACAAAAATATAACAAAGCTAGTCTTCTCTTCTGAATCCTAATTATTTAATAGTTAGCGATTGCAGTCAAAATCTCCTTGGATTTCATTATTTATTCTTATCAGTTTTAAGGCATAGTGTGATTTTATAATATATGATCGATTTCGTAACAAGGAAATTGCAGATAATTCTATGGGCATGCGAAATACTAGAGGAACCGAATTACGGCTGGTGATCGACTCGGAGATCGGCCGATCTGCGGTCAGAGGAAAAAGACATATTAGAGACATCATAATGCCAGGGCGAAGCTGTGTTCCAATTTATAACCGGATGATATCGCGATAGAGTCTCAGGTTCGAGGCATTGTGTTCGGTAGGGTTTCGTTCCTGATGTTACACCGGCCATCGAATGGGTGGGGTCTTGATGCCTTGGTGGCCTGGCTCAAGGTATCCTTTTGATATCCTGTTAACTAATGCCAGCTATTCGTTACAGACGAATAACTCAGGTGGCGTATATTTACGTTTACCTACTCGAAGAATACGTTCCGTTGCGTTTATGAGAAATTCGACACAGTAGTGTTCTCATTCAAAGTTTTATTGAACAACCATTTGTACAAGAATATTAATGTCTTGTTTTTATTAAATCTTTATTAGAGTTACTTAAAGAACAAAACAAATCATTATTGTCTCGAGAATCTTGAGAACACAGTCAAGTTAAAAGTGTGGAAGAGCGTAAAACAGATGAAACGATTAAAGCGTGTACCTCTCGTATAGAAAAGAACTAGCCGCGACGGCTCACTTTAGAGTCCACGTGTCCAAGAGTATAAGATCGCTACCTGGTGGGGCAGGACGAGATTGGTCAAGTCCTTTCTTGTCGAGATTATTCTATATAGTAGGCGGTACCAATGTGGCCAAGCCTACCTCTCATCTCACTCGAGTCTAACAATGGATCTGCAACAATATAAGCATCTCGTTTACATCTGGATCTACTTATTGTTAGCTTCTGCGCTTGTTCTTTGATGTACATTACTGTTCGATCGAGAAGCATTCGATCTCTTCCAAGCTTTGGTTAAAACTACAACAGAACGTGTTAATTTCTTATCATTTAATATCACATAATTAGTACTGTATTTTTATGCAAGTGCTTATTTCAAGTTATCAAGTTGAAAGAGTTAACAAGTACAGCATTATAGGAAAATGTTGCTGTCTGTGTTACTTATCACTTCTTTCCACTAATTAATTTCATTTCTCATGTGTGCAGTGGAATTAATTAAATTGCAACGCAAGCATAAATTACTGCGTACTTCTTAGGGGTTGAGTTAAAGGGACTCATGTTACACAGCGTTTACAACCAAGGCAGGAAAATATAACATTACGAAAACACCGGTTCGGTTCTGTTAATTTGCGCTTTATTAAAAGAAGCTCTCTTGATTTATAGAAATTTTTCATGTTTACGAGGCCGAGGATTAAGTTTTATATTTGCGTCAGATAAATTTTATACTGGATCCAATTTAACATTACCAACGAAACGTAAATAACACACCAAAAAATAAATAATGTGCTATGAAAATATTACGGACGTGAAAAGAAATTACAGAATTGTAGTTAATTTTTTATTAATAACAGACATCCTCACGAAGCATTAAAAATGCTGAGATTAAAACTTGTACACATCTAAATTAAATAAAATTTGCTTGATATTCTATCTTAGTTCTTACCTGTTTCTTGCAAATTTCAATATTTTCATAACTTATATTAAGTGCATCTTCATATAAATATACAAGTATAATATGCAGCATGTAAATTATATTGTATAAATTAAAATCAATGATTAGAACAGGTGTATGACTTACAAATATCCAATGATAATTTTTGTTTTCAATTGTAATTTCCGTAGATAATAAAACATTTCATGTAATGCATGTAATGAACATGGAAGATCAAAGTATGTATGTGTTACTTGCTTCTGAATAGACGATTCACAAAACTGCGTGCCAACAACGTTAACACTTATGCACAGACATCATGACGATTCTCATTTAATTATCCTCGGTAACAAGCCTCATTGCCACTTTATTATCACGAACAGATCCAGCAATAGTTACAAATCACACAGAATTGGTTATTCCATGCGTTGTACATGAGTTTATATTCTTTCTCAACATAGATTACGATGAAAAACATTTTCGAAATATGGTGAAACAATTAGCAATTAATATTGTTCACCTAATGTTTAAAATTTCGTTCTTTATCGCTTTAACTTAATATAATAGAAATACGTAAAATTATACGTAAACTCTTATAAACAATTTTGTGTAGTAATTTTTTTCTTAACCTACGTAAATATATCCAAAAAATAACTGAAGTTAAAAATGTAGAACGAATACTGATTAATAATAGTAACAAACATTGTATCGTTTCTCATTGGGACACCGCCTCCCGTCTTTTTCCATCGAGATCCGGCTGGTATGGTCGATACGCCGTCGCGCGGCGTAGATCAATGCCCGCGACCAGCCCTAAATCACTCGTTATGACAAGAACAGATGTACGCGAACCTGTCCTGTCGCGAATAGTCAGCGCAATAAGGCGGCGGAGGACGGTCGCGCGGGTACCCGGTAGTCTGGTTCGTTCGGCCGGCTAACATCGAATCTATGAGAGCAGCGTTATCGTATTGTTGCTTACTACGAGAAGTTCTCCGCTCGGTCCGGCTCCTGGCCGTGTTATGCTGGTACGTTATACGGCGCAGCAGCAAGAATAACGCGACACGTATATAAAGACGATGGTATATCTGTATCAATTGTATGCATATGTGAATCCCAGCTTCGATCTCCTCCTTCCGTCGTTTCTCGTTCCCTTCTGTCTTTCTCTCACTATCCCCTCTATAATATTCTACGTCGGCGCTCCGACTTCCCAGGAAGCTCGCTCCTAGAGCTGCCTACGTACATACATTTATCGCACTTCAACCATTATACGGTTTATCGTTATTGTTCGTCACCGAACGCAGCTACCCTTCCGCGACCAATGGACGACCGAGCACATGTTGCGGCGCGAGGGGTGCACGAGCCGCGCTAGAGAAAGAGGGACGCCTCATGAACTTAACCACCGTTAAAACGGAGCATACCTTATGTGATCTTCATTTGAATACGATTATGGATAACGCGATACGCGAAAGAGCTATGCCGCGGTATCAAATTTGATATTCAAATGGACGATACGTCTTTTGTTCCCGCTGCAAACTATGGGGCTACGATCTTGAACCGATCGGAGATTCGACGAACAACGCCAGATCGTTCGCCAACCGCTTTGTCGTTTTCCTTTTCCGTCCGCCTATACTGTATTTACTTTAAGCTGCGTTGTACTGAATCAAAGTCATGAAAGACTGTTACTAGTTCTAACTACTAGAACAAAAGTAAGAAATACAAATGAGTATAGTAAGATAGAATTCGTCGATACATAAACTCTGTCGAAAATACTATGATGATAATGATGATATGTATGAAAAATGAGAAGCAACTATGGAACGTATTTCTTAGAAAAAGCAGACAGGAATTGTTACGGTTATAGAATATTAGAATTCATTTAGTGTCTGCTTCTATTCTCATTTTTAAAATCGCGTGGAAGAAGAAAAAGATGCTCGTCGATACGGATGGCGCGTTCGCGAGTCCTCGGCACACAATCCGCTGCTGCGTAGAGATAAAGTAAGAACGCGATCTTATTTGAAAGTAAGATACGCGATCGGTGACATTTCTATGCCAAATATATCGCACAAAGCGGCGCCGCTTCTCCCTGTCATATTAAATATTATTTATGTCCGTTCGTATAAAGATTCCGGTCGCTTTGCCGAGGGCTTGCTCTACACAGACGGTCCATGTCTGTGTTTTCCATACAAGAACACTCTGCGTGCCGTGCGCATGCCGCACAATAAACCGCCAGCCGCTGTGTAACCGCGCAGCGTGTACGAACACAAAGAACGGCCAATCGAAAAACAATATCGATCCATTGTTTCGCCCGGCCAATAAATATCGTAAATATCGGTCTACTGAATTACAGGCCCAATCTCGTTCGCAGATCAGCCGGCCTGTGCTGTTACATCGTAAACTCGCCCCACCGCGCACCGCTTCGTCTTCGGCTTGCCTACTGATATAGTAGCTCCAACATGCGTGTAACGTAAAGGAATATAGCTTCGAAATTGCCCTTTGTTTTTTTAAACGGCTTAAAATTGCCATTGTTGTGTTTAGCGTCGATTATTTATGAGCTAGCGACAAATTACGATCGCCTTTTCCTTACTTAACGCGTCGATCCACCATTACCATTAAAACCATAGATATGTGAGCATAGAGTGCATCAAATGGGAAACTAGAGATTAGGCGAGAAATAAAATAAATGGGAGAGTTTCGTTTTTTTGCTGTCGGACGTAGACGTGAGAGAGAAACTTCTCCAGAACGTGTTTTCTCTTTTTGATTATGGGATCAACAGAAATACATTGATCTATTCTCTTATGTCTATACATTAAACCTGGCTGTGTCTAAAAAATATTTCCAACATCAATGAATATCCGAAAAAATACATTATAATGCATCGGTAGAAACGAGTACTTAAAGTCTATTTCATAGGCTGCAAACAATGTTTTCAGAACAAAACGTTTGCTTCATAGATAGTTATCAAGTGGTAATATGACATCATGTTTGTACTAATGTATCGAAGTGAGATGTATAGGAATACGTACTTCTTCATGTAAAAGTTTCTGTTTCCATCTTTGCGTAATTTTCGCTCCTTAAGAGACGGTATTATTTATACTTCATACAATATATTCATGTAACCATACAGTTATTTAAATAAAACAACGATCCTCTTTTTAAACTAATAAAATGAACATTGTCCTCCTAATCTGCAAAATATTACATTCGATGCATAATATTTGAAGTGAAGTTTCACAATTCGCAGACTCCCAATTTATTTACAACTTGCGATTCCTTTAATTAATTTTATTGTGACTGCGTATTTATTTACAAAATGTCATAAAGTAGAGAAATGCGTTCTATTAAGTGTTTCATGTTAATTAATGTCCAACGAATAAACTTCACGAGAAAGCATAATTATAGAGTTTAATTTTAATTTAGTAAAAAACGATGAACAATTAATATGTCCTTACAGCTTGCGAAGTTGAAATGCAAATACACATCTGCGGTAGTTGATAGTACAGGCATCGCCATCTTTTGATGAGTACCCAAAGCCGCGATAAGCTCTCAGTGACTCTCAACTCAGATAAACTCACAGCATGATTTTCAGTCAAAGCATAATTTTAATAATATGAAAATTCTTTTGATATACCTTAATTCCCATTTTCAATATAATCTTGCAACTGGTTTCTCAGCGTGCGAAAATATATTTACAACATGGTACATTTTAAATAATGGGTCAAATTTTTGCCTGAATTTTGTCAAACTGCTGAAATCAGAATTTTCTCAAAACGGGGAAATGTGTATCTATGCTGAGATCATTTACGAACAGCCGCCAAACCGGAACGGGCGTACTTTCCAGACGTCTAATAAGATCGGAGGCCGGTGGCAGTAGTAAACGGACGAAAAAATTCAGGAAGGATCTCGGGTATGGGTGCCGTGCGTGGCATATGTGTGCGTGGGCGCGCGCGCGCGCGCTCGCTCGAGACACAGATTGAATCCGCGAATTTTTCGCGAGTATCCAGCCGCGGTATAATCTCGCATCGAGTGGTTGGATAGACTCGGAGGAAAAAGAACGGCGGGAGTACAGAGATGGAGAAGTGCACACACTAAGGGGGTAAGTAGAGAGAGAAGGAAGACGCGACGTTGAGCGGCGGAGGAGGGACGTTGGGAAGCGGAGAGTTAAAGAGGATTGCCGATCCATCCATGAGGGACGATGCAGTCTCTGAATGCGAGATAAAACCTCGCTGATGCCCAGCAGAGCGATCTGAG